TATATATATACACTGAACAAAATTATAAACGCAACACTTTTGTTTTTGCCCCCATTTTTCATGAGCTGAACTCAAAGATCTAAGACTTTTTCTATGTACACAAAAGGCCTATTTCTCTCAAATATTGTTCACAAATCTGTCTAAATCTGTGTTAGTGAGCACTTCTCCTTTGCCGAGATAATCCATCCACCTCACAGGTGTGGCATATCAAGATATATATACATTTTAGACTGCACACCTGTGCAAAAATCATGCTGTCTAATCAGAATCTTGATATGCCACACCTGTGAGGTGGATGTATTATCTCGGCAAAGGAGAAGTGCTCACTAACACAGATTTAGACAGATTTGTGAACAATATTTGAGAGAAATAGGCCTTTTGTGTACATAGAAAATGTCTTAGATCTTTGAGTTCAGCTCGTGAAAAATGGGGGCAAAAACAAAAGTGTTGCGTTTATATTTTTGTTCAGTGTATATTGTATTGTATTGTATTTTTATTTATTTATTTTTTTTATTGTTTTGTATTTGAATTAGGGTTATTGTCATAAACTAGAACAAAAGTAGACCCTTTACAGATTCGATTGATGTATTGCTTTTATCTGTAAGATCAAAACTGAAAGTGTAATTTAAGTTATTTTCGGTGTGATCAGGAGAAGATGCCTCAAAACGCGTATCCGCGTTAATCGACCTCAGAGGGTTAACTGAAATAAATTAAAATACTAAAAAACTAATTTTATTTCAGATTGTTGCCAAGGAAATATTTGACTTTTTTGTTTAGTTTCAGTGGAAGTACTAAAATTAAAACTAAAAAAAAAAATATTAATTTCTATTATTAAAAAAAAAAAAAACATAAATGACAACACACAAAAATTGCTTAATATTAAAATGAAAAATATAAAAAGAAAAAGCTAATTCAGTACTAAAATGAATACTAACGTACTAAATAACTAAAACTTAAATTCATTTTGAACAAAAATACAAAAAAAACGATGACAGAAACAAAAAAAAATTACTAAAATTTAAAAAAAAAATTAAGATGGCTTGAATTCACTCTAAAAACTGTAATAGTAAATGAATTATACTAAAATAACACTGCTTTGAACTGATATAAACAACCCACAGTCATTTGCGCATATTGATGGAATTGTGTCATCATTTACTCATCCTTTCTTTAATCACTCTTTCTCTTGTTATTGATTTTGGTTCACTTCTCATTCTTCTGTTCTTATTGGGTTTGTTTATTTCTCTCTTATCTGCTAGGGATCGATTGTCGGAGCTGCATGGGAACATGTTCGTTGAAGAATGTGAGAAGTGCGGCAAGTATGTTATCGATGCCACTGAACATCTTAATGAAATCTGTCAGCAAGATTAACCACGTCGTCTTATGTAGTTTAACAAGTACAAGACATTCATGACTGTCTTAAACTTGTTGCTGTGTTACTGGTTACTATGGTCAGATAATGATGTAAAAAGACCGACTTTAAATGATTTATTTGACCAGCAGCACATAGTGGTGAAAACAAACTTTGGTCTAACTTAACTTTGTGAAGTTTCAAATGATAGGGGTCCTATTATGCTTTTTCACTTTTTTAATTTTAGTCAGTGTGTAGTGTGTATGTTTGAGCATAAAAAAGATCTAGAAAGTTACAAATCTCAAAGTCCACTCCAAAGGGAGATATTTCAAGAACTACAACGAACGGCTCATTTGGACTACAGCGTTTGGTTTCCGGGCTTTGTGATATCACAAAGCGGCTTATTAGAATATCATTACAAATAATCCCCGCCTACAGAAACTCGAATGGTTGGGGGGTGGGGAGGGGCGAGGTTGTGGTTAGAACGCTTGGTTGAGTGAGTGCATCAGACGAGACGATGAAGAAGAAGTGCTGCTGCAGAGTTAGTGCATCAGAGAAAACCAAGAAGAAGAGCTGCTGTGCTGTAGCGTCAAATCTTCGGCATGTCTAGAACAATTCTTACAAGTATAACACGACGTAGCTGGGCGCCGCGGACAGACGCAGAACGGTGCCGTCGGTGTGCCTACACTCATTGAAAATAATGTATTCGAATTTTAAAGATGCTGTGCTTCTCGTCCGGTGTGCGACCGCCTGAAACGCTGTTATTTTTCACCTCCGTGCCCAAACGTCTTTGTTTGGGCTTCCGAAAGCGGATGATGTCAGGAAACAGTGGTTGCAATTTATTTTTTAACTCTGTTCCTGAGCATTATAACCCCAATTTGCTATTGTGGGCTGCACATTTTACTGAGGACAGCTTCCACAACACGAGGGAGTACAGTGCCGGATTCGCCAAAAGTTTTTATTGAAAGACGGAGCAAGGGGCGTTGCAGTACTGAAACACCATCTAAGCTGTTCGCCAATCACAATGCACTGGGACAGCTAACCAATCACAACACATTTTGTTTTTCGGAAGGCAGACCGTCATCAAAGCCGGAACTAATCGAGCCGTTTGTGCCAGGCTGGGGAGAAAGGTATTTTAATAATGTAAATTATGTGAAAAATAATGCGTTTTTCAAACCACCAAGCATGAGAGCATGTTCTAGTACACCCCTAAAACAAAATCAAGACTTTGAAAAAAGAGCATAATAGGACCCCTCTAAGAAAGAACTTAAAACTAATTTATAGGTGAAGTATGTAAAGCAAAATCTGTTTAAAGCTAAATTTTACAGGTTAAGCTTAGTCAAAAGCATTTGTGGTTTATTACCACAAACATTATTTCCATTTGTCCCTCCTTTTTAAAAAAGAAAAAACTAACTTACAATGGGACACTTACAGTGGACATAAATGAGGCCAGTCTTTGAAGATTAAAATATTTTGTTTCCTTGTCAAAGCAGATTTTGAGAAATTTAGCATTCCATTACTTGCTCACCAATGGATCCTCTGCAGTGAATGGGTGCCGTCAGAGCGCTGTACATTCACTCCCCCCACCTACAATTCCTGCCGGACCGGAGACTCGAACCCACAACCTTTGGGTTACGAGTTCGACTCTCTAACCATTAGGCCACAACTTCCCCCAATTAACATCTTGTGATCATAGGACGTTTTTAACTTAAACTGTTGCTTCTAGCTAAAATACGAGTCCTCTAACTATAATATTGCTTTCTCCAGTCATCCTGTCTGCACAGATCAAGCACTGTTTACAAGTCATAACAGTCCAAAATAGCTCTAAACAAACATATTGGTGACTTTTGATGTGAGGACAACAGGAGATGGACTTTTCACTGGAGGAAGTGTTATTATGGATTATGGACTCGTATTTAAGATGAAATTGATGGCTTAAATTTAAAATGCCTTAATGTCACTTCACAAGACGTTAACTGATGGACTGGAGTGGTGTGGATTACTTGTGGATTATTGTGATGTTTTTATCAGCTGTTTGGACTCTCATTCTGACGGCACCCATTCACTGCAGAGGATCCACTGGTGAGCAAGTGATGGAATGCTACATTTCTCCAAATATGATGAAGAAACAAACTCCTCTACATCTTGGGTTGTGTTGATTGAGCTTAACTTGTGCTGAACCTGAAATATTCCTTTAAAGTTCAAAGACTATAAGGCATTTTGTAAGTTTACTAAACTTATACTCAACTAAACTTTGCTGTTTATTTGTCAATTTCTGATTTAAAATCAAATCCTGCACTAACTCAACAAAATATAATTCTACCAGTTTTGGACAGAAAAATAGGTAAATAAAGAAAACAAAAAAGTCTGAAAAGTCTTTGATGAATTCACAATCTCCAAAAACATACTGATTCAGGTTTATTTTTCTAGTGCACAGTGTTTGACATTGAACATGTGCTGTATTGAAATTGTATGTGCATCATAGCTCTGTCTAGCAGATAAACGCTGTGAGAATGCTGTGCTATTCATCACACACATATATCTCTATCAAAGGAGGCAACGGGTCATGTGCAGGTACTGCCACTGTCACAGTGATGAGCACTTGTGCCCTGGGCTGTTTCAGGCAATATGTCCGGTACACTGTAATTGGAGTGATGGGTCTGAAGCCAACCGGACGCTACTGCGATGTCACACGCTCAAGAGGACTCCGATCTTGCAGGTGATGCACCATTTTAGAGAAATGCATCCATCATGATTTTCCATGATTCAGAGAAGACAGAATTTCATGATACACAAATATTTTTATTAGGGAATTTATTTATTATACGCCTAAAGTGGGGGAAAAAAATTCCCAGTATGTGTATATATATATGTATATATACATGCATACATACATACATATACACAGTGTTGGGAAGGTTACTTTGGAAATGTAATAGGTTACAGATTACAAGTTACTCCTATTTAAGATGTAATAAGTAGTAAAAAGCACGCTACCGAGCAAGAATGGAATGTGTTATTATTGTAATATTATGTGCTTTGTACTGCAGTGTTTTCTCAGTGGTGAATGAGACATGATATATCTGACAGCGTTGCATTCAGTCCTCCACCAACGCCATCTCTCATCATGTCGCTGGTTAGCCTCTGCTCTGCCTGTGCGCGTTCATATGTTTTTTTAAGGAAGCCTGGCTTTGCAGAGTGATTATGCAGGGAGGGTGGGATCTTGCTTTCAAAGCTAGCTTGCTATTGCTAGCCTCTCCAAAATCACCTACACTACCTTTTAAAGGCACAATATGTAAGATTTTTTTATTAAAATATCCAAAAACCACTAGAACAGTGTTATATATTTTGCTGACTTGTGTACTTACATTATCCCAAATGTTTCGAAGAATGTTTAAATCCAGAGAAATAAGCAATTTTAACTAGTGACACGGACCGTGTCCATAGTGTCATTGTGTCGCCTGCCAATGACGTCATAGCCCCTCGATTTCCGGTTTTGTTTTGTAGAAAACATGGAAACACCAAAGACGCTTTAATATGTTGTGCGTTTTAATAGACCGGTGACGACCGCACAGAGTAGCATAATAACAGAACTTTCAAATGTATCTAGTATGATAAAACAGCGCTGCTTTACCCCACATACGCACGACCGGAATGACCGGAAGCGGTCGACTGTGGCATAATAAAAGCTCCGCTGCTTTCGAGCCGTGTGTCACGCTCGTTTAACGGCCACTTTTCACTTCGACAGCTTTCAGCCTCACCCTGCTTCATTCTACTATGTTAATAAATCATTAGCTCATCCATGAACATGATTTCTGCCCGAGTCCCGTCGGATTGCATCGGCTGTGGGGGATGAAAACAACAACTCCCATGATTCCACACTCAGTCACGGCGTCATCAAACTACGCCTTTGTCTATTTGTTTATTTTGAATACGTGCCCTCTAGCGGCAAAAATTACATATTGTGCCTTTAAGTGTCTGTTGATGGCCTTTCATTTTTAAGCACGCTCTCACATATGTTTTTTGATCCATCCATTGCTATGGTTATCACTGTGTCAATCATTGCTATTTCAAGAGTGAATCCAGCATAAATATGCGGATGTCATTCCCGAAATGTTGCAGCGTGTATGTGTCCAAAAATCAAGTTACATACGATCTCACAAAGTTCCATTATAATCAATGAAGCTCTCTAAACTGCTCAATGAATCTCTTATCTACATTGCATTTGCACTTTATGAGATGATTCACTAGCATGCGGAACTGAAGTGAACAAAAACTGTGAATTCTGACCAACTAAAACGCCTCTGATTGGCCATTAAGGAATCAACAGGTGTGTCTGTGTTTGGCTACATTGCTCAACGGTGCAAACACTTAGTAAATAGTTACTTTTGACGCTGTCCAGAGCGCAAACACAAATATGCATGGATAGTTTGCCAGATCTTCAACTGAGGGTGATTTTGCTTTCGTTTGAGAGTGCATGGGCTTGGCTAACCGCTCCAAATTACTACGTTTATAGATTTTTTTCTTTACATTTAATTTGCCTTAAAGTGCCCCTTGTGAGTGAATCTTTATAAAATGTTTGAAAATCCTTGTTCAGAAATTACAAATGACTGACAAGGTTCTGGAAATGCATTGGTCAAATATAGGGATGTAACAGTCACTCAACTCACAATGCGATACGATTCGCGATACTGATTTCACAATACGATTTTGTCACGATTTTTGTTAACAAAATGAGATTTAAGACAAATTATAAATGAACAAGCGTCCTTTTATTATTGCATGGACAAAATGCTGCACATGTCTTTGTGAAATTGAAATATGTAGAATAACATAACTAAATTGAAATTTTTAAACAAACCCCAAATCAAAAAAATAAATACTAGAAGTAAAAAAAAAATCTTCATATAAATAAACTAAGGCTTTGCCTGTGCTCTTTCCATTTAAAATTAATCACAATCCAAACAAAGATGTTGCATACATGCAGCATGAGCAATTTTTAATCTAAATCAAGATTGTATAATTCAGAAATTTGAAGCAAAAGCAGAATGCTCTGACTTTAGCTTTTTGAAACTATACTACATAAAACACATCTGCACGAAACAGAAACAGCAACAATTATTATAATTCAAATTAACTGTTTTCTATTGTATATTTAAGAATTTATTCCTGTGATGCAAAGCTGAATTTTCAGCATCATTACTCCAGTCTTCAGCGTCACATGATCCTTCAGAAATCATTCTAATATGCTGATTTACTGCTCAAGAAACATTTCTGATCATTTTCAATGTTAAAAACAGTTGTTAAACAATTTTTTTTTTAAAAAAAAGCAAATTTTCAGAGGCTAATATTGAATGACTGACATTAGTAATTGGAGCTGTCAGTAGCCTGCTAGTGGTCCGTATGTGCTGAGGGGCCTCAGGAGCCCTAGTGTTCAGCTCACACCATTTGTACCTAGGGATCTGCTCAGTTGTTATTGGCAGTCTCAGGCTGTGCTACCTTTGGCTATAATGGCCCCTGGCAGTCTGAGGCTCTGGGGCACCGGCTCCTTCGTTTCATAATCCGGCCATGAGCATCCTCTGACTTTGCAGCAGGCAAGTGTTACGTCATCAGGAGCCAGACTCATAAAAATCATCTTTTGAAAGAAGGTTTTGAGATAAATTTCTTAAGATAAATAAAGTTTGGTGTCAGATGTATGGGCGCTCTCATATATACTGAATGTTGCCGAAGATTGTCCTATTTATGGGCTGAAATTAAAAATGAGCTCCCTATTTGACTCATTACTGAATTTTGAATTCAGCACAAAGTCGAGTCACACATAATCATGACCGATCATTGTTTACATTATCGATCATTGGTGTCACTTAAGAACGTGTGCACATCCCTAGGAATAATATGTATTATAGCGTTATGTTGTAATGCTTAATTACAACAATTTCTATTAAATAACCCAATACATTTATAAAACATCTTACCTTTGCGGATGTAAGACAAGTCGGAGGATATTCTAACTTTAAGAAGTCATTTAGATTGATTTGTAGGAAGTTTCTTTTTAAAAATTTGAATTCTTCTTAAGTTTTGTCTTAAAAACTATTTTAAGAGAAAAGATAAGAACATTCTTAAGAATTATTTGTATGTAACATTTTGCTTAAAGAAGAAAATGTCAGTTAAAATAAAATGTTATTCTTAAAATTAAGTTTCGTGAATCCAGCCCCAGATACTCAAATGTAAAATATTTCAGTAAAATTACATTATTGGTGTTATTTTACTATCATTAATATACTGTTGTAGAATATATTAATATTTTGCATCTTTTTATTTTTATAATTTCCATTTTTATTTAAATGTTACTAAGTTTTAGTAATTTTGTTGTTTTTTACTTTTTTAGTGTCTATATTTTTTTATTTGATTTCAGTTTTAGTTATTTCAGTACATCAAGTTAAACACAACTTAAAATAGAATTATAAGTCAATAGAATTAATCAAATGAGAAATGTTGACTTGGCAGTGAACTAAAACAAAAAAATCATATATTGTTTTATTTCTTTGTAACAAATGTTGTTTGTTTGTTTTAGGTTTAGCTAATGATAATAACTTGTCAAAACCTGTGAAAGATAATAAAAGTAACAGAGCAATATTGACATTGATGCGTTGGTTTCTTAACATTACACGTGGTCTTAAAAATGTTCATGGCACACGATGCTCAGTCAAACATGATGAAGCACACAAAGACGTCTGTCTGATGCATCTGCGCATACACCCCCTTAGATGTCTGTGCTCGTCATCAGCTGTTTGCTCTGTCTCATAACTACGTGTGTGTTTTTCTCTGCAGAGGGAAGCTGATCAGCACTATATTGGACTGGGAGGACTCACTGCCTGACAGAGACCTGAATAGAGCTGATGAAGCATGTCAGTAAGGAAGAGAAATATCCAGGGAATGAGATGGTGTGCTCTAATAATTCAGGGAGAAGGCCGTTATATTTAGGGAATCAAGAATGCTTGTTGAGAACAAGGCCAGTAGCAGTTACAGGTCTAAAATAAGATTGAGCATGTTTGGTGATTGACAGGTGAATTTAGGAAACGAAATTCAAAGGCAGATACTAGCTTTACTATTATGTATACCTTTTATGTATAACTTTTGACCAGTTGGTTGCTGCGGTTTTACAGTTAACTAGAACGATTTCCGTTTCAGGCCAATTTTAAAATGTCCACAGGAATATATAGAGCAATAAATCATGACTTTGGGTTAATGTATTGCAAAACTATAAACAGTTATGGATTTAATTTATACATAAGCAGTGCTGTAGTCAAACTGCTTCAGTATATTCCAGCAATGATACATTAAAAACTTCATATCAGTACATCAGAGTGATCTCACTTCCTGTACAATGCCGTCGACCGTCAAAATTGTTGATGTGTTGCATGCAAATAGTTTAGTATATCAATACGCTTTTAATTACTTCTAAATGCTTCGGTTTCAGGTCAAATGAATAGATTAGAGTGCCCAGTCCCGATCATTGTATCAACAGCACCAGATCCAGCTTAATTATATTACAGTGAACGTACTGCAGTCTCACAAGACTCGACACACAGACACGCACGCATACAAAACATCCCACAACACCTGCTGCACATCTGACCCACGACTGTCCTCTGGGCTTCCACATGCTTTCAAAATCCACTGCAGCTTGAAAGAAAATAAACGTGACCTTGGAAGTACTCCAATGTGGTTTTCCTCTTTCTTTATCGTAAAGCACAATTCTTACCGTTTGAGTTCCTCCAGTCTGTCAAGAGTTAGCTTTAGGGCACAGTATTACAAAGCTGCATCTGTCTTTATGTAATATAACTGTTTCCTAGTTTAGAAGATCACTAGATATGACATGATTTATAAATGAGATCCTGCATATATAGACATTGGAATATGTGTTATTAAAGGAATAGTAAACCTAAAAATGATAATGTGCTGAAAATGTACTCACCCTCAGGTCATCCAAGATGTAGATGAGTTTGTTTCTTCATCATAACAGATTTGGAGAAATTTAGCATTACATCACTTGCTCACCAATGGATCCTCTTCTCAAGACATTAATTGCTGGACTGGAGTGGTGTGTATTAGGCTTGCCGCGATAGACGGTGCTGACGGTGATACCGGTGATACCGGTTGCCCACTGCGTCACCGACTCCCACCGTCGTTTTGATTTGTAATAGTAATAAAAATCATTTAGTTCAGTAAAAGAACAGACACTACAATTAAAAACGGAACGCGGCTGCTCAATGCAGTTGAACGACAGTTGCATCACAGATCAGGTTTAGTTTCTAAAGTGAGGAGAGTGAGTCCAGCTGACTGACAAGAAGAGTGAGGCGAGACAGACAAGACGATCGCGGATGATTTAGTTTCGAAATGAAATGCAAAAGCGTCTGTTTGGCAATATTTTGGATTTTGAAAAGCCTGTTGACTTGCCGTTTATCTAAGGTGATTTTGGAAGGTTTTTTTAAACATAAGTTTCTTATTTAATTGGTTCCACATTGTTTGCTGATTTTTACTTTGTTTAAATTTTGTGTCATTTATTTATTTTATTTGACATCAAGGTGTATGCCGTGCCTCCAAGCTTTCTTACTCGTTTTGCTAATAAACGTTCTATGCTTTTTATTTATTTGGTTATATATTATACATGTTTACTTGTTTCCAGGTTTGTACATTTCTACTTTATGTAAGTTATTTTATATTAGGCATAGCCTGCCCTATAGCATGGTGTATTTTTATTTGTTTTGTTAATAAAAGTTCTATGTTTTATATATACGCTAAAGTGACGCCTAACTGCCGCTAATTCGAGGGACAATTCAAACGAACTAAAAACGGACAATTGCTTTACTCCGAATTGCCGCTATTTGAAAGTGAAAGTAAAATGCGCACGCCGCCACACGGGTACGCCCCTGCCACCGCGGTGTTGTCACACATCGATTAACCGGTGGGAAAATTTCCTCACCGTCACAACCCTAGTGTGTATTACATGTGGATTATTGTGATGTCTTTATCAGCTGTTTGGACTCATTCTGACGGCACCCAGTCACTGCAGAGGATCCATTGGTGAGCAAGTGATGGAATGCTAAATGTTTTAGAAACACGTTTGAAAAAGCTCATCTAAGCATGTAGGTTTCACAGTGGATACACGGCACCCTGGGATTGATAGTGTGTTCAGGTGAAATCAGGACGGTGCCGATGAGTTTCCTACGACCACATGAGACTCAAAAACCAATCAAGTGCCAATAAGCTCCTGCTCAGACTTAAAGAAGATTCGTAATTCTCACTTTTGCCGTTTTTCACTCTCAATTTTCTCTCTCATGGTCTGAGGTCACTTGTGGGTTCTTTTGAAGAAAAGTAGCTTTTTTTTCTTAGCCTGCTGCAATCATTCACTTCGAAAGATGTCTGGGTTTTGGATGTTGTGGTGAAAGGAAGGTTCAGCAAATCTCTTTCTTTAAGTCATGCATTTATAAAGCTCTTCATCCAGGTCATAGTACTTCATGGGGAATTAATAGAGCTTTTAGTGAACCAGTATTCATTATGTTTTGTAAAGGATAATTATCTCCTTATGGCTGTTTCTAGCCTCTTCAAATTGCCTACCCTACCTTTAATTAAACATGAGTATTGTACTGAAGTGTGTACTTTGAAGTTAATGATGTTCAGATAAAAATAGATTTCAGACAAGCTTAGAAACAGGGATGATAAAAGGCACAAGCTATTACAGCTGAACTCATGTTACAGTTCAGGTCTGTGAATAGCTTACAGCATTTTCTTCATCACTGTTGCATGTTGCTATTCTGTAATCAGATGTTTTCTGCAATGTCAGGTTAGCAAACACACTTCAACTCTTGTGAAGGAGAAAAAAGGGTCAACTAGCCGTCCAACAACTGGACTAGTCAACCATTTTGACCCATTCTGCTCATTTCAGAATTTTCTGTATACATTTTATTTCAAATGACATGGCTATTAATTAAACTTATTATTATTATTATTTTACCTAACAAAAATACAGCTTAATATTTAGGTTTTTATTAAGATTTTTTGCATCATGAAATTATTTTGATTAGCATATTACCTCATCTAATTCTCATTATTACAATGTGTGTATTTTATTTTTGTAACTATGCTGTTCATTACATTTTCATTTACAGTAATGTTTTGTTGTGTTTGTATATACACTTATTTTATTTGAAACAGCATAAAAGCGGTAGTGTTATTTTTTGATTAAAATGTTTTCTGAAATAAAATTAAATATAAATATTAGGTAAAAACTTGGAAAAATGGCAAATGTTACCTTGGCAACTAACTGAAATACAATAAGTTTAAGTACTAAAATTGCTAAAACTGAAAAAAAATAAAACAAAGCTGAATAGAAATATTAAAAAATAATAATAAAAATTAAAAACATAGATTACTAAAATTTAAACTAAAATGAAAATATAATAACATTAATAAACCATATAATAGTAGCTAAATAATACTAAAATAACACTGAAAGGCTGTACAAAAAAATATTGCACAATCCTTGTTCTAAATGATCCTAACAATGAACATATTCATTCTTTTTTATGCGAAGTTTCTTGATTTTTATTTTTTGCCTTTGGGGTGAAGTGTGACTTTTTGCACTTTTGATGTTATTTCTAGCGAGAAATCAGTATTATAGTAATTAAATATTCGTTTAGTTATCACAAAAACTCGTTCTATTTTGTTGTAGCTCATTAAACTGTTACGCTGCCTCAGAAGCCTGTCCGAAATCAGTTTCATGAGGTGCCTTCGTGCAAAAATGCTGCCTGCAAAGTCATTGCCTCATACGGCAACGAGGCAGCAAGTCAGCTGCCTAAGTTTTCGGATGGAGCCTGAGACATGTTCTTGACAAGTTTTGCATAATAATGTTTCAAATTTGCATCAACAAAGGAACCATGTGATCAGACTGTAGCTTGACATTTGTGTGCATTATGATTAAGGTGGACTGCAGGTGAACAAACTGAGACTGAGAAGTATGACCAACAGCCCCCAGCAGCTGATACTGTGCCTCTCTTTTCACAGGCGAGCTGACTTGGCCTTGACGCTGGGTACATCTCTTCAAATTAAACCTAGCGGAGATCTGCCTCTTCTAACCAAACGCACAGGAGGGAAGCTGGTTATAGTCAACCTTCAGCCTTCCGAACATGTACATCTCACCAACACGATACCTCAAAAACCTCATGAAAAAATCCATTCTAATTAAAATTCATTCAAATTGATACTTTTTTTTTTTTAGCAACAAATTAATAACACATGGCCACGATTTACTAAAACGAGGGAACAAATTAGGTACAATGTGGCCAAAATTAGTGGCTCCTTAGTCACTTCTTTCAAAAATATTACCAGCCCCTAAGTTTTTGAATGATGACTCGATTTATAAGGATCAATTTCAGTTAATATTCTGCCTATGTAGACAACAGACAGCACAGCAGCTCACTAGATTAGAGTCTTTGTCTTAGTCCTCACCCACACAAAAATACACATGCTTCCACAAACACGTAGTAGTTTGAAATCTGTGAGCGGTGAACACACTCAGATTAGCGTCCTTCAATAGCACAGCTGCGCTAAACTCCGTCTGACCATTCATGCTCATTATTTAAACAATTTTGATTAAGAAGCTTTGCAGTCGGGCTGGATTTTCTCTTAAGCTCGTATCCTTAGTCTGGCATTTCTTTCTGATCTCGTCATGTGGCTAGAATGTTTGTAATGGATTAATCCTATTAATTTTTAAACGTGTTGTTATCTGCCCGTGTTTGACTCATGTTCCATCTAAAGGTTATTTTTGCCGCTTTACCTCATCGCTTCCACTTCCTGTCAACATCTCAGTTCCCAAATTGGATTTATTTTTATAAATCTTTTTGAAATTCAAAGCCTGACACAACATGAGATATAACATGTCAGATTTTTGGAGGGGGAGTTTATGGTATTATAGCAGCTTAACGTGTAAAGAAGTAGAATTTGACATTTCTGGTGCAGTTTCGTAATGTCTGTCTGTAATCTGAATCTGCTGTGATTGATTAAAGTGTGCATTTATTCAAAGTAAATTAGTATTTCACACAGTCAGGCTAAAGAATGTCAAAAAAAAAAAAAAAAAAACGTAGACGTGTAATTTTCTGGGAAAAAGTTTGGGGTTAGAAAGATTTTTTGTTTTGTTTCTGTTTTTGAAAGTCTTTTCTGCTCACCAAGGCTGCATTTGATTAAAAGTATGGTAAAAACAATAATATTGAAAAATAATATTGCAATTTAAAATAACTGTTTTCTATTTGAATTTACTGTAAAATGTCATTTATTCCTGTGATGCTGTATTTTCAGCATCATTACTCCAGTCTTCAGTGTCACATGATCCTTCAGAAATCATTCTAATATGCTGCTCAAGAACCATTTCTGATTATTATCAATGTTGAAATCAGTTGTGCTGCGTCGTATTTTTATGGAATCCATTATGTATTTTCAGGATACTTTGATGAATAGAAAGTTCAAAAGAACAGCATTTATTTGATACAGAAAGTGACGAAAGAAGATTGACAAAAAGCTTGATGTATGAAAAAGTTGTCGCAAACATACATCAATTCTGAAGTCATAAAATAGCTAAATGTGATGGTGAATAATGGCTTAAATTAACATCCACAAAAAAGGTATGGTTAATCATCATTTATGTTCATTGTATGGAAAAAAAATTGAGTACCGTCACTTTAAAATCTGTCTGGTTGTTTTTACTTAACAGTGCTACTCCTTGTTTTTGTAGGACAAACACGCCCACCTGCTTATCCACATGAGGTCATGGGTCAACTGATGAAGCTGCTGGGATTGGAGGTTCCAGAGTGGGCGGGGCCAATGCTGTGTGAACGCTCAGGTGGAGAACTGAACATCCTCCCATTCGGAGCCTGGAAAAAGGAAGTGAAGATCGAGGAAAATAAACACGCCGTCCCAAAGAAACGGAAGAAGAGAGAGCAGGATGGCAAGATAAACTGCAAGAAAGATGTTAAAGTAGAAGAAGAGACTAAAGAATCGGGGAAGGAATCAGCGTTAGGACTAATCAAAACGCAGAAGTCGTCCTGTGAGGCGTGTCCTTTAAACAGCTCCTCCCACAATCCTACAAGTTTCACAATCCTACGCAGAACTAGACAGACACTGAACAGCCCTCTTCTTAGAGCCGAATCGCAATCGGACAGAAACTGAATGGCAAATCTCTCTCAGGAAGTGTGGTCACCATATGCCCTGTGTTTACATCGTCATGATGATAGGCTGGACTCAGGCCTTTTAGATGAAATGAAGTGATGTCATCCGGCCATGAGTGTGTACTGTTACAGCTAGCTAGTAGAAAATTTAGGTCAATATTATTTCTGTTATTCTGGATGGAGATCTTGGTGAATCATGTTTTTTTTTTTTTGTACTGTAAAATAAACATATTGTAATCTTTTGTAACCTCAAATAAATCAGGTTTGTAAAAACAAGGTTCACTGCACACGCAAAACATGTCATATTTTACCCCAAAAATCAAAAGTTATATATACTATATATATGACAGTTAGATTTAGACATTTAAATTAAATTTAAATGTCTGTTTCCAATAGCTAAACATTCTTAAAGGAATAGTTCACCCAAATCAAAGATGTAGATTAGCATTACCAGTGAATCCTCTGCAGTGAATGGGTGCCGTCAGAATGAGAGTCTGATAAATGCATCACAATAATCCACTCCACTCCAGTCCACCAATTAAGTTTTTGTTATTCATATAAATAATTCATTATTAAGCCATATACAAGTACACTGTAAAAAGTCATTCTGTAGGTTTGTAGATTTCATTAAATTTAAAGTGTAAACTTTATTTAACAAAATAAATTTGTTTTTTTCAATATTTTTTTTTATTAGAATTAATTAAAAATGACTGGAATAAAACCTACTCAATTATGTTGTTAAGGATTCAGCTATTATTTTTGAATAATTCCAAATAGAGAGAATATTGAATGAATCCAACATGATGGAAATGAGCTGTTTTCAATTTACAAGCATTTCTCTGGAAAGCCATATGGGTCATAATTCGCGTGCTTTTCACCGCCGTATCAATATTAAAACGCCGTTTTCATAACGCCGCCAGGCGTTAAATAAGCGCCGTTAGGCGATAAGTTAACGGCAGACGCCACCACGCGTTAAAATAACGCCACACGCCGACCGACGTTAAGTTAACGCCACACGCCACTTAAGATGCAGATTTATTTGCTTATCTACATGGACACACCTCTCATGGCTACAAGGACTAGGCAAGTCGGAGCATCCCGTTTGCAAGAGCGCGAAGATGGCAAGTACAGCCCTTACAATTCTAGATGTAGGGGGAAAAATGCCCCTGAATGAGCTTTTGTCTCACGAGTTATCACAGGAGTCATGAATGAGTGCAAATTTGGAAATTATTTTATACAACAGTTAAATAAATAAGAAATGTTATGGTAAGTCTTGCAATATATTGCAAAATATATTTATAATCAGTCGTGAAAATGGACAAAATTCACTGGGGACCCTAGCTTGGAATCAGGTGGGGTGGGGGGGGGTTAATGGTAATAAAAGGTAAAATAATAAATAAATATATATTATATTTATATAAAATATACATTTTGGATGTATTTAATTATACATCTATTTGTAATATATAATAACATTACATTTATTTCATATGTTCTCTATCATAACCCTTCTTGGATATTAAGACACCTGCAATTTTGGCCAAATTATAGATATTTTGTGTGTGAATTTGCACATGCTATAATGTAAGCATCATTAATGACCCCTTGTGTTAACGCCACACGCCACTTAAGATGCAGATTTATTTGCTCATCTACATGGACACACCTCTCATTGCTACAATGACTCTACGGCAAGTCGGAGCATCCAGTTTGCAAGAGCGCGAAGATGGCAAGTACAGCCCTTACAATTCTAGATGTAGGGGGAAAAATGCCCCTGAATGAGCTTTTGTCTCACGAGTTATCACAGGAGTCATGAATGAGTGCAAATTTGGAAATTAAACAGTTAAATAAATAAGAAATGTTATGGTAAGTCTTGCAATATAGCAAT